ACACAATGGACCCAGGAGGCAGAACAGGAACTTGCTGTCCTTCGTTTTCCTTCTCACACGAACCACCCAGGGGAAAAAAGGAACTACTGCCAGAGGGGCAGATGTGGGTGGGTAGGGACTATCCTAGCTTCAGGGGATTGCCCTGAGTGAGTAGGGGTGCTTTGCCTTCTCCTTGCCCAGATGCATTCTAGGGCATCAGTGACTTAATCTTTTCCTCATAGAATCGAGGGGAGCCAGCAAACCAGACCATGGATGGCTTTCCTAAAAATACACTTAAGAGAGAAAAACCAGGGGCTCCTGGATGGCTCAGTTGGTTGAGCGTCCGACTTCAGCTCAGGTCATGATGTCATGGTTTGTGAGTTCGAGCCCCTCATCGGACTCTGTGCTGACAGCTCGGAGCCTGGAGCCTGCTTCGGCTTCTGTGTCTCCTTCTCTCTCTGCCCCTCCCCCACTTGTGCTCTGTCTCCTTCTGTCTCTCAAAAATAAATAAATGTAAAAAAAATTTAAAAAAAAAAAAGAGAGAAAAACCATAACTGTAAGAATGTTTCCAAGGCAGAGGTTGCTCTAGCTTGGATCTCCTGGGTTTAGGTGATGAGATTTGCGTTTGAGCATGTTTACTATAAATAAAACCATTTCCCTGGAGCCCGGCAAGTTTTGCAGAAGGCATACCAAAATGTAATTGAAATGTGACTGCCTCTTAAATTGTGAAATTAATTTTACACTTAACAAATGCTTTAAAAAAATTGAGGAACAAGTGGCTTTAAAGTTCAGGGTGTTAATATTTGAAATCTGTCCAATTTAATTAGTTGGGTCCCGGCGACTTTTTCTGTGGTCAGTGTCACTGATCTAACACCCAATTCTCTTCTTGGTTGTGAGATAGAAATTAAATGTATCATTTATTTAGTTGTATTGACCTGAATTGTATCTCTCCACCACACATTCTTATTTCAGGAAATAGGATGCATCCATGTGGAATTTACTCAATAACTCTTCTTAGTGACATTTGTGTGATCTAATTCAAGGACCTGAAGTAAAGTCTCCACACTATTTACTTGCATATGATGCAGCTATTTCTAGTACTGCATTTACATTTTTAAAAACAAGAATGCACCTTCTTGATGGAGCAGACCTGCATTTTTAGACTCACAGACTCAAGAACTGTAGAACAAATAAGTTTCTTAGACATCAAGTCCAAACATCTTTTTTTGTATTGGAGAGAAATAAACTTGGGTTGAGAAAGATTTAAGGGCTCCTGGGTGGCTCAGTCGGTTAAGCAACCAACTCTTGATTTCAGCTCAGGTCATGATCTCGCTCACAGTTTGTGAGTTCAAGCCCTATAAATTTTAGAGCCATGTGCTGACAGCATAGGACCTGCTTAAGATTCTCTCCCTCTCTCTGCCCCTCCTCCATTTGTGTGCATGCTCTCTCTCTCTCTCTCTCGCTCTCTCTCGCTCTCAAAATAAATAAAACCTAAAAAAAAATAAAAGATTTAGTTGCCCTGAACTCAGGTCACAGACTTATTCAATGATAGAACAAAATAAGAAACTAGATGGATTCCCAATTCAAGGCTCCTGTTTGTCTCAGATTTTAAAATATAAATGTGTTGTATGTTGACAATTTGTTATGATATGCAGGTTTTTAAGACAGTGATAGGTAACTTAGTCACTTAGTTACTTAAAACCTCTAATTTCTGCATTAGCATATTACAGTATATTATAGTCTCTATAGCTGCCTATCCTTGTTTTCTTTCGCTTCTTGTATACTTATTTTTATCTTGCTTGTATTTTTATAAGCTGCCTTAAATCCTTCCTTGAATGATATGGTGTCCAAAGTACTCAAAGTGATACTTTGTGTGTTAATATTATTTATTTTTCTGTAGTGTCTATGGCATGTCAGAGATCCTGGCAGTGTTAGTTATCCTAACGGTATTTTGTCCTTTATATCTATCAGAGGTGGCAGTAGAAACAAACTTCCTGAGTGGAATGCCGAAAAAAATTACCATTCTTTTATTTATTCAGAAAACAGTAACATTCTGATTCCCATAACAAAACCCTCAAAATTGTTTTTATTAAACCTGAAAATGACTTAGTGTATTTAGTATCTTAAAATGAAAAGACCGTCTGATAGGATTGAAATATTACCTAGGTATTTAAAAAAGCATTGTGATTTACGGTCAACTAATTTTGATAAGAATGCCAAGGCCATTCATTAGGAAAAGGCGGGGCAGCTGGATAGCCACATGCCAAAGAAAGAGTTTGGACCCCTACCTCATGCCATATACAGATAAACTCTGTGTGGATCAAAGATCCAAATATAAGGCTAAAAGTATAAAATTCTTGTAGGGAAACATAGATGAAAATCTGCATGGCCTTGTATTAGGCAACAGTTTTTTAGATATGACATGAAAAAAAGCAAGCAACAAAATGAAAAATAGATAAATCAGACATCATCAAAATTAAAATCAAGGAGTAGAAAGACAATCTACAGAATGGGAGAACAATTTGTAAATTACATATATCTGATAAATCTCTAGTTTCCAGAATATATAAACTCTTACAACTCAGCAATGTGAAGGGCCACCTGGGTGACTCAGTCATTTTGAGCATCTGACTCTTGATTTCGGCTAGGGTCTTGGACCTGGGGATCAAGCCCTATGTTGGGCTCCGTGCTGAGTGTGGAGCCTGCTGGAGATTCTCTCCCTTCTCCCTCATCCCCTTCCCCCCACTTGCATGCTCTCAACAATATGAAGACAAATAACTGAATTAAAAAGTGGACAAAGGATTTGATAGATAGGCATTTCTCTAAAGAAGATACACAAATGACCAGTATGCACTGGAAAGATGTTCAACATCATCAGGGAAATGCAAACCAAAATTGTTGAGGTACCACTTCACACCCACTAGGATGGGTGTCCATTTAAAAAATGAACAATAAACGTTGGTGAAGATGTAGAGAAATTAGGGCTCTTATATATTACTAGTAGAAATAGAAATTTGTACACATTCTGTGGAAACAGCTTTGGCAGTTCCTTAAAAAGTTAAAGAGGATTATCATCTAACCTAGCAATTCTGCTCCTAGGTATGTAACCAAGAGAATTGAAAACATATATTCACACAAGTATGCATTCACAAATAGTAACTTCCTTCAGGATAATCAAGAAATGGAAAGAACTCAAATGTCCATTAACCGAGGAACATATAAACAAATGTGGTAAATTCATACAACGGAATATTAGACATCAAAAGCAGTGAAGTACTATTATGTGCTACAACATGGGTAAACCTCAGAAATTGTATGCCATGTGAAAAAAGCCAGACACAAAAGCCATATATTGCATGTTTCCATTTATATGAAATGTCCAAAATAGGCAAATCCATAGAGTCAGAAAGAAGATTAGTGATTGCTAGGGGATTGATGGGAGGGGGGAGTTGGAATTAACTGCTAACATTACCTTCTTTGTGTAGTGATAAAAATATTCTGCAACTAGGGGCTTCTGAGTGGCTCAGGTCGTCAAGTGTCTGACTTCGGCTCTGGTCGTGATCTTGTGGTTCGTGAGTTCGAGCCCTGCATCATGCTCACTGCTGTCAGCGTTGAAGCCTGCTTCAGATCCTCTGTCCCCCTCTCTCTGCCCCTTCCCCGCTTGCACGCTTTCTCTCTCTCTCAAAAATAAACATTGTAAAAAAATGTTCTGGAATTAGGTAATGGTGATGATTGTACAACAAAAAGCCACAGAAGTGTATGCTTTAATGTGGTGGATTTTATGTTATATAAATTGTATTTTTAATTTAATTTTTTTATGTTTATTTATTGAGAGAGAAAGAGCGGGCAGGCATGAGCAGGGGGGTGGGTTGCAGAGAGAGAGAGGAAGAGAGAGAATCCCAAGCAGGCTCCACACTGTCAGCACCAAGCTCGAAACAAGATTTGATCCCCCAAACCATGAGATCATGAACTGAGCCGAAATCAAGAGTCGGAATCTTAACTGACTGAGCCACCCAGACTCCCCTATGTGATTATGTTTTAATGTAAAATACTGAAAAAAAAATTTTTTTAAAGCATTGTGTACCCAAAATAAAATGAAAGATGTTATGAAAGCTTAAAGTGTAAGATTAAGAAGGATTTCCAATCATTAAGAAGTGAAATAATTTAATACCCTCAAGCCCCCTAGGACTGATAGAGAATTTTATCTATTCTCTGGCTTTCAGAGGATTAAGAGAAAAGTCCTGTGGTGTTGTTTTTTACAGCTGGACAGGAGGAATCAGAAGCATTATATGGTCCTCTGCTCAGAGCCAAGGAATGTGGTTAGAGATGTTATGCAAATTGAGATGATAAAACCAAATTACCTCCACTCAGTAGATCACCTGTAGTTCAAAAACAGCAGGGAGTTTGGAAAACTAATAGAGAGTGTGGGTAGGACTGAAGGGATGTGATTTTTTTCTTTTTTAATGTACAATCCAACAGCAACTCTCCCTAGATTTTGTGCTAAAATAAGAGCATTTTCACACATTTTAATTGCTCTGCGATAACAGCAGTGTGAACTCCATCCACAAACATTTATTATCTATTTAACTTTGCTCTAATTTCAGTGTAGCAAGAATTCACCTTGTAAGTGGGAATAACTGTCCGTTTAGTAAAAAGAAATCCCTTCCCACGTTGTTAATCCTGTTGTGCATTTCTATGATAAAGTATTAATAACAAATGGCCTTTTATATTTCTCCATTTTAAGGTTGCATTTATAGATTACTGTTTTCAAAGTAGCATCTTTGTGAATGGGAACCCCACTTGCTCCTTGAACATTAGTAAAGAATATTAAAAATTGTAGAAGTTAAGGTTTCTTAACATTTCTAATCAGGATTTTAGATGAGACCCATATGCCTTTATAAACCTTTATAGTACTTGGTGCTATAATGTTCATGATAAACTGTATGGAACTGTTTTTAAGATGTGTCTTAAAAATGAGATTTGTGTAACTTCATAGCTATCTAAATTGTTTTATTTTCCAGACCTGTCATTTACTCATCCTTTATAGTGATGCTACAGAACAGAAAGGAATGGATAAAAATATTGGCGAGCAACTCAATAAAGCTTATGAAGCCTTTCGACAGGCATGTATGGATAGAGATTCTGCAGTAAAAGAGCTACAGCAAAAGGTATATGGTTTTGGTTTTGAAAGTTATTTCTTCTGGTAAATGGAATTTGAGAGTCTTTTGCAACTAAAAAATATTGTACTGTTTGAAACTTTCTTGAAAAACTATAAATAACTAAAACACGGAGATTTATATTAATGGATGGAATTTAAGATTGTTATTGTTTTTTTTAAAAAAAACATTGTGACCAGAGGGAAGAGTTCACAAACAGTATTTTCTTCCATGAATAATTTTTAATTTTCAGTTGCAAAAGAGGGTAAGTTGGAGGATAAATTTACCTCAGTAGTTCCTAGGCACATGTCTGCTATTGGCCCATAATTAGGTCTTCACTGATCTGTAGCAAAATGAGAAAAATAAGAATGTAATGAACTTCTTGTAATGCTAAATTTATCCAATTCAAAAGTCTGTCCTTTATTCTCATATTATGTTTCCATGTTTCCACACTATCAGAGTATAGGGCGGAATTGTATTAACACACACTTTTGTGGGGCACCTGGATGGTTCAGTCGGTTGAGCATCCATCTCTTGACTTCAGCTCAGGTCCCTTCCCAGAAGATCAAGCCCTGCATTGGGCTCCATGCTGAGGATGGAGCCTCCTTAAGATTCTCTCTCTTTCCCTCTGCCACTCCCCCCTGCTTGTGGGTTCTCTTCTCTTTTTCTATCTAAAAAAAAACAAACCAAAAACAACAAAAAAATCCGCCCCCCACTTTTGTGAGATGATAATGATAGAGTTTTTGTTTATTTATTTAATATCACTATTTAGTAGTGTCTTGGGGGTCCCCAATAGCATATATACATTCTGTGTTTCTAAAGGGACTCACAGGACTACTTAGCATACAGTAATGCTCACAGCCAAGATTTATTACAGTGTCATGATAAAGATACACAGCCAGATCATTAATATAAAAAAACCATCAGGCAGATTCTAGAAGGATCCACATGCAGGCCTCCTATGCTCTTTCCCACCTGTGAGGAGTCACACAGAGTACACCCTGCCTCCAGTCAAAAATTTAGTCACACATGTGCAGTGCTTCTACATAGGGAACTCCATTTGAGACACAAGAGTTAAGGGTTTTTATTAAGAACTAGTCCTAGTCCCATAGAACATCTACAAAGGCAAGGTAATTAAAAGCAAAAATGAACTATTGGGACCTCATGAAGATAAAAAGCTTCTGCACTGCAAAGGAAACAATCAACAAAACTAAAAGGCAACCAACGGAATGGGAAAAGATATTTGCAAATGACATATCAGACAAAGGGCTAGTATTCAAAATCTATAAAGAGCTCACCAAACTGCCCACCTGAAAAACAAATAATCCAGTGAAGAAATGGGCAGAAAACATGAATAGACACTTCTCTAAAGAAGACATCCAGATGGTCAAGAGGTACATGAAAAGATGCTCCACGTCACTCCTCATCAGGGAAATACAAATCAAAACCACACTGAGATACCACCTCATGCTAGTCAGAGTGGCTAAAATGAACAAATCAGAAGACTATAGATGCTGGAGAGGATGTGGAGAAACAAGAACCCTCTTGCACTGTTGGTGGGAATGCAAACTGGTGCAGCCACTCTGGAAAGCAGTGTGGAGGTTCCTCAAAAAATTATAAATAGATCTACCCTATGACCCAGCAATAGCACTGCTAGGAATTTACCCAAGGGATACAGGAGTACTGATGCATAGGGGCACTTGTACCCCAATGTTTATAGCAGCACTCTCAACAATAGCCAAATTATGGAAAGAGCCGAAATGTCCATCAACTGATGAATGGATAAAGAAATTGTGGTTTACATACACAATGGAATACTACTTGGCAATGACAATGAAATATGGCCTTTTGTAGCAACATGGATGGAACTGGAGAGTGTGATGCTAAGTGAAATAAGCCATACAGAGAAAGACAGATACCATATGTTTTCACCCTTATGTGGATCCTGAGAACTTTAACAGAAGACCGTGGGGGAGGGGAAGGGACAAAAAAAAGTTAGAGTGGGAGGGAGCCAAAATATAAGAGACTCTTAAAAACTGAGAACAAACTGAGGGTTGATGGGGGGTGCGAGGGAGGGGAAAGTGGGTGATGGGCATTGAGGAGGGCACCTGTTGAGATGAGCACTGGGTGTTGTATGGAAACCAATTTGACAATAAATTTCATATTAAAAAAATAATAAAGACAAAAAAAAAAAAGAACTAGTCCCATAGATACCCTATGTCAAACAAAATTTCAGACTCTCAGAAGGAAAGTAGGTCTTCATCATAAATCTCATAGTCTCTTGGTATAGTCTAAGTAAGCTGTCATAGCAGTCAACTTTATCACTTAGGAAATGTTCCCAAAGTTAGACTCCCAGTTGCCAGACAAGGGCTAACCTTCATTAGTTTCAACAGGCAGTTGAAAGTGGGAGATCTAGGGGCGCCTGGGTGGCGCAGTCGGTTAAGCGTCCGACTTCAGCCAGGTCACGATCTCGCGGTCCGGGAGTTCGAGCCCCGCGTCAGGCTCTGGGCTGATGGCTCAGAGCCTGGAGCCTGTTTCCGATTCTGTGTCTCCCTCTCTCTCTGCCCCTCCCTCGTTCATGCTCTGTCTCTCTCTGTCCCAAAAATAAATAAACGTTGAAAAAAAAAAAAGAAAGTGGGAGATCTTACATTGGTTCCCTCATTTAAGAAAAAAATATATTAGCCTTGAAATTCTGAAGTCTAAGAAATATGCTAGCCATGCAGTTCTTAGTTTCTTCCATAACTTTAGAACTACACAATTCTCGTCATCCTACTTTAGACATCTATAAAACTAGCTGTTTTACATATTTCCCTGCATTCCTCAGAAATCATTTGTGATTCTCCTGTTGGTTTATAAAAGAATACTTCCATTTGTATAGGCAGACTTATGGACTAAGTTCTTCCTTGGGGTGCGCAGAGGAGAAACAGACACATAACAATGACAGGGAGTTTTCTAAAATTATTGAAGTTTAGAATTTGGATTTTTCCTTTCTAGTTCAGGTATAAGGCATAATCACTTTTTAAAAAGCAAAACAGAAAAAAGAAAAACAAAACCAAAATTCCCAACTTTTATTCTTCTTATTTTCCTATTAGGTTCATTAAGAAATTTCAACGATCCTGGGGCGCCTGGGTGGCGCAGTCGGTTAAGCGTCCGACTTCAGCCAGGTCACGATCTCGCGGTCTGTGAGTTCGAGCCCCGCGTCAGGCTCTGGGCTGATGGCTCAGAGCCTGGAGCCTGTTTCCGATTCTGTGTCTCCCTCTCTCTCTGCCCCTCCCCCGTTCATGCTCTGTCTCTCTCTGTCCCAAAAATAAATAAACGTTGAAAAAAAAATTTTTTTATAAAAAAAAAAAAAAGAAATTTCAACAATCCTATACTTGTTCTAGGAAAGTTAGGAAACACAGAATTAGGGAAGAGCAGTATTGACATATTCTTAGGTTAAGGCAGAGACAGAAATTTCTCTAACTGCTCCTCTGCCTGCACTAGCCAATGGTAAGCAACTCTTATATTTACTCTTGTAATGGTAAGAAACTCTTGTAATTTAACCTTTTAACTGTCATGGAAGAAGCCTTTGTTCACGTCAGCAATTATTTCAAGGAGGGTAAAGGGAATTTTTTTTTTTTAATATTTGTCAAGTACTCAAGAATAAAAGAAAACATGTATACTATATATTCTTATGTACTAAACTCAAAATATCCTGATCTATTTTAAAATATTATTGTATGCCTGCCATATACTAGGCCCTTGATGAGGTTCTGAGAATGCTGAAACAAAACATAGTTTATACCTTTAAGGAACTTTCCAATTAGAAGCTAAAAAGGAAGAGTAATAGTTCTTATCATAGGATGCTAAGGGCTAAAGTGGAAATCTGTGGAGGATAACATAGGAGCAGAGAGAAGAGGCACCTCAATCAGTCTGGGAGGATCAGGTGATAAGCCAACTCTCACACCCCTCACTTAGGCTAAGATTAGGAGTTGGGTAAATTAAGGAAGAAGAGTCCTACAAGCAGGGGGAGCAGTGTATGTAATAAAAACACAAAAGGAAGGGAATATATGGTACGTTCCACATACAATAAGGTGATTCTATGGCTCCAACAAGAACAATAGAGCAGTACAGGAAAAGAAGCTGTGAAGGTAGATTAGGGGCCTATCATGAGGAATGGGACTAAGTAGTTCATACTACACTCTTAATCAAAATGTACTGAAGGATTAATATACATGCTTCAGAAAAGGCTTCCTGATATTAGGATATAGGATAGAGGACAATGTAGAATTCAGCTCAACAAACATATTGATGATAAACAGTGTTCTAAGAGCTAGGAATATAAAAATAAGTGGTAATCATCAAGGTACTTTATCAACTTTAATATATATATATATATGCATATATGTTTCATGTATTATGTGTATGTAAAGGCATACATATATAAATGGTATGATTATATATAAGTATCCATTAATATGCATATGTTTTATATATATACAGTTGACCTTGAATAACGCAGGGGGTTAGGGGTGCTGACCACCATCCCCGCCTGCCCCGCCCCCCCCCCCCCCCCGCGCTGTCAGAAATCTGCATGTAACTTTTGATTCTCCAAAAACATAACTACTGTTAGTCTACTGTTGACTGGAAACCTTACCAATAACATAAAACAATCGATTAACACCTATTTTGTATGTTATATGTATTATATACTGTATTCTTTCAATAAAGTGAGCTAGAGAAAAAATGTTATTAAGAAAATTATAAGGAAGAGAAAATACATTTATATATAGTACTGTACTGTATTTATTGGGGGGGAAAATCCACATATAAGTGGACCTGTGCTGTTCAGGGGTCAACTGTGCATATATTTTACTTCAACGTAAAAAAGAAAAAATGAATCATTTTAAGCAGTCAACATGCAGACTTAAGCATTAGGGATGAATTAGGGAAGCAGTCTAATGTTTATTTAGAAAACAGAATGGAAAGTAGGTGGCACCTGAATGCAGGCCACTTCTGAGTGTGATAACATA